AAGGAATGCAATGCATGACATACCTGGCGGGCTTAAGCAAGTCGATGACAAAACATGGCCTGGGGGAAGTAGCAAAGGGAGAAAACTTATTGAGAGCTACAAGGGATAGTGGGAAATGGAGAGCCATTATTGCCTACATCCTGAAGAGACATGGAACATAAAAAGAAAAAAAGAGTTATACTTCATTTTGACTGAGAGTTTGAGGATACTAACTTTATTCAAATAACTCTTTCCCAGAAACTGTAAGAATGGTTCATTCAGCATAGTCTCAGTATAAATCACAGGTAGGTTGTGTGGGTATTGAACAAATGCAAGTGTATCTGAACAATTGTATCTGACAGGGATTGACAAATGCCTCATGTGCTCAGAAAATGATTGAGTGATTCATTTTTTACAGTTTATCTACCTATGACAGGTTATGTAAAGCCAGATAACATTTTTAGATTGTAAGAATTTTTTTGATATAATAATGGTTTAGCAATACAATTCTTACTAATTAACCAATAGCTGGGTGGAGCAGAGGTGGATTCATGCATTTCACAAAGGTATTTTCAGATAAGTATATATAACGAACCCAACAAGAATTGGAATTTGGTTCACTGATTAACAAATCCAAGCCAGCTTGTTGCCTTATGATTACTGAAGTTCAGCAGTGTTTTAATGTGATGTGGCCATAAGCTCAGAAAATGAGAGTAGCTGGCCATGTGTATATATATATATATATATATATATATATATATATATATATATATGGGCATGTGGCTGAGTGGTTAGAATGTTCACTTTCTGGCCACGAGACCCAGGTTTGAATTTCACCAGGGTTGATTTGTCAGGAAGGAGACTTCCTGAAGTTTTTGGTCAGGGTGGGGGGCGATTTTATGTGTGGCACCTTTGGAAAATGCCTGAAAACCATACCATGGGTTGACCCAAGCCTTGTGAGTGAAATTGGGTGGATTGAACCCTTGGGGACTGTGATAGCTGTACTAGCACAAACTCACAAGTCATTGTGACTGAGGGTTTGAAAGTGCTGACCTTGACACTATCTCAGAAACTGTAACTGAAGTCTGCTCAGTTTAGTTGAAGTATAAAACACAGGTTAGCTCTGTGGGTGTTGAACAAACACAAATGTGCATGAGTGAGCACTGGCTAGCACCCTAATAGATGGGTATCCTCGAATACGAGTGGCCTGCTATTATTATTATTATATATAAACTGATTAAAAAAAAAAATGGTTCCTTCGCTACACAGGAATTGCTATGTATCAAAAACAGAAACTAACAATTAAAAGCACTAGTTCTGTTTCATTTTCAAGTGAATTTTGAAATAACTTATTTTGAAGTTTACTGAGTTTTAAAAGCACATACAATTTGTTTCCAAGGATACAGAGAAATCCAATCATTTAGAATGTTCCTTTTTATTAACAACTATTGTAGCAAATTTGAGTTACTCTCGTAAAGAGTTTATGTCTAGGTATGGTAGGAGTGCATTTTTCAATGAATTATTACTTCCATTCAATGCATGTTGTCTGTTTTTTTTAAACAACAAAAGGTTTTTCAGCATTTTTATCAGTTATATTTATAATTGTATGCATAGAGATTCTTTCTAAAAGGGGTGTTTGGATTACAATACATTTTATTGAGCTACAATTTTACAATATTATTTTTACTTTTAATTACTAATAGACTATATTTCATTTTAAACCAAATAAATGTAATAGAATTACTTAAATTATTTAAAAATTATGATTAAATATCAGATATAAGTATGTATATTACAGCTCTTTTTTTATTAAATATTATTTAAGGAAAATTTGTTGATAATGTTTGCAAAGAATAGCTATTTCATTTCTTTGATTCAGTAAATTTTATTTTTTTATAAAGCTAGTAATATATAGTTTCTCATGTATGCACAAAGGACATGGGTCATTTAATGACCTACATATTCTCGCTTTTTTATTAATTTCCTTTTTACTATAGATGTTTTATTGGTTTCTTTTAAGTGCCACAAATATTTTAATAGGGACATTTATTTTGGTATTTATTTATCCTAAAAGAACTTTGATGTTGGTTAAAGTGTTTTTTGAACTCGTGTCTTGTACATCCTATGTAGACTTTTAGATTGTCAGGATCCTCAATAGATGAATTTTTTAAAGGACAGTTATTAGGATTCCTGCAGTTACATCATTTTTGTTTAACTTCATCTCTCTTTATTTTTATACTGTCTAAATTTCTTTGGTTTTATTCAAGATATTAGCATTATGTTTTTTAAATAATTTTCTCTAAGTTTTCAGTACAGCTGTAACATTGTCAAAAATTTTTCATAAATAATATTTGATAAAAAAAAGAGAGCTGTAATATACATACTTATATTTGATATTTAATAACAATTTTTAAATAATTTAAGTAATTCTATTACATTTATTTGGTTTAAAATGAAATATAGTCTATCAGTAATTAAAAGTAAAAATAATATTGTAAAATTGTAGCTCAATAAAATGTATTGTAATCCAAATACCCCTTTTAGAAAGAATCTTTATGTATACAAGTATAAATTTAACAGATGAAAATGCCAAGAAACTTTTTGTAATTTAAAAAACCAGACAACATGCGTTGAACGGAAGTAATAATTCATTGAAAAATGCACTCCTACCCTACCTAGACATAAACTCTTTATGAGAGTAACTCAAATTTGCTACAATAGTTGTTAATAAAAATGAACATGCTATGGCCCCTGTCTAAATGATTGGATTTCTCTGTATCCTTGGAAACAATTTGTATGTGCTTTTAAAACTCAGTAAACTTCAAAATAAGTTATTTCAAAATTCACTTGAAAATGAAACAACTAATGCTTTTAATTTAATTAAATAATTGAATTTTGAAGTTGTTAGTTTCTGTTTTTGAAACATAGTAATTCCTGTGTAGTGAAGTAACAATATTTTTAAATCAGTTAATTTATAATATTTATGCTCTGCAAATTTACATTGAGCACTGTTTTGTAAAAATAAAAATATCAATAAGAACACCGGATTATATATCTTACTGTTCTTTCTTTTTTCACTATAATATATATATATATATATATATATATATATATATATATATATATATACACACACACAGGATATCCATAAATTATCTGTACAAATTCCACAGTTTATTGTATCCAGTAGATTTAAGCTGCATCATTACACTTCTTTGCGTGTTAAAGAAATAATATGAAAGTTTTAATTTATAATTATTTCTTTTTTATCCACTTTTGTTTTACTTTTCAGGTTTTTATATATATATATATATATACTTTAGATGATGAAATCATGCATCGGATTGCTAAGGCTACCAGTGCTTTCAGCAAAATTCGCCATTGCTTGTGGAATGAATAGGGTATTCGACTGGAGATGAAAATTCGGCTTTACAGAGCTGTTGTACTTGCCATCCTTTTGTATGGCTCAGATTCGTGGAATCCATACAGGTACCATATACGCCAGCTAGAGGTTTTACATAAAAGCTGTCTGCGTGCAATCTGTGGAGTTAAGCTTCAAGATAGGACATCTAATGTAGACCTGTTTAACAGGTGTAATTATTGGAGGAATCAAAACTTTTATCATACAGTCTCATTTACGGTGGACTGGTCATGTGTTGGGAATGTCTGATGACAAGATACCCAAGATCCTAATGTACAGCCAGTTATATCAGGGCTACAGGAATGTAGGGCACCCATGGCTTAGATACAAATACAAGTTGAAAAGCAACTTGTCAGCTGTCAATATACCACATAACACCCTTGAGCGCTTTTCTTGGAGCGGGTAGAATAGAGATCAACGTGTTTTAGTGGACTCAGCAATTTTCAATCTGCTTGTCTGAATCATCTTCAAGAAGCGAGAGCAAGATCTAAAAGGTCAGCCAATCTAACAGTGATCTCATCTCGCAATCCTCACACTTGCTCCATATGTGGCCTCCTTTGTAAATCACTAGCGGGTCTTAAATGCCACTTAAGATTATCGCACAAAATTCCATAACTGAATCAATAAGCTGTCAGATCCTCTTACATCAAAACCAATGGGAGAGTCCATTATTATTATTATATATATACATTTCAGGACTTCGCCTCCATGAGATGTGTTATATCTATAAATGCCCATTGCCTTGATGAAAAAATCTTAAGGGAAGTCACTAAATTTCTTTGAATACTTCTTCCATCACTGCCTAAAAAGGAAAAAAAAAAACACAGCAGCACTAAGCAACCAATGATGAAATATCCATTGATTTTCGAAGACCTTTGGCTAACACAACAGAGGAGAACCATAAAAGAGATACAGCAATTCCCTAAAAAGTGTTTCTGTCATTTGCAGAATTGACTATGACAAATTGGAAATAGAGGCTACCGACAAACCTTCTTGATGCAACAAGCTCTTTCAGTTACAGTAACACATACAAGGTATATAAAGTATTTGAGGACATGTAATTGTGCACCTCCAGTTATGTAATAATCAATTAACGTACTTTTATTTTTTCAGAGCATCAGTGGTCAATTATCCCATAATGAATGAGATGAAATGCATGCTGTAAATGTTGCAATGTTGAGACTGCATGTTTTTTGGGAAGAAAATATTCAATGTCCATGGAGTTCAACCTCACTCTTAAGTCTGGGTCATCAAAGTTCTGACAAGTATGATAGGGTTTGCCTTTTTTTTTTTGTCTAGTCTATATATTCTGGAAGTTTAAATTCTGAAAGCATTGCCAAAAATGGCAGGCAGCAAGAAAGAAGATACAATGGTCAGTAATGATAATTTTTCACCTCATAAAGAAATCATTCGAAGTAGATAACTATCAAATCATTACTTGGGAATAATCAATGACAGACAAACAAGTTATCCAACATTTAAAGATGACAATGATGAAAGATAATCTTTAATGACAGGTAAACTAGACTAAGTTGTTCATGACTCAAATACAGATGGTGATTAGATATTCGTACTTTAAGATGAACATAAAACTACTTACGTTGCCTGATGTAGTGTCTGAGGTTGTTAGGTAGAGGCATCTCATTAACTTCCCAGCTGAGTTCTGGTCGGGGGATTCCCTCAGCATGGCATTTCAGGATAACATCAGAGTTTGATTTGTGCAGCTGGGTGGTTGGTGAAACAGACACTTTGGGTGGCACTGGAATGAAATATCCGTAAGAAAAATTACAGTCTCTCTTTTAAAAACAAAACAAACGAAAAAAAGAAAAAAAAGCAAACACTTAAGTATTTTTATCCATCTCTGTCATTAACAGAAACTAAATATTTTTGGCATCATAGATAAGAATATATTAGCTTTATCCTGGCATTTTTGGGAGTGGTAGATTTCAAATTTGATATCATGTATAGAATGGTTTCACAGAGTTTAGCAACACCAGAAACCAGTATGTTAAATATTTTATGCACATTATAACTATTTTATATGGATTTCAAAGATTTTATATACCTTTTAAAATCACATATCTTATGCTGAAAGATATTTTATTTAACTTACTGATTTTGGTTAGTAATACAAATGACAAGATATCAAGCAAAATGTTTATTGAAATTTCTTCTTCCTTTATGTGCAGTGCCCCTCCAGGATGTGGGCAGTCATGGCTCTCCACATCTTCTCATCCTTTGTAGCTTTAAATAATGTTTGAGATAATAATGGTGTTATTAAATTTAAAATATTAAACTTTAACTGCAGCACTTGTAAAATATGTTGTTCAATGTTAAGATTGTGTAGCACAAATTATTTGCTAATTTATTTGTTTTTAACATGGCTCACTACACCAATGAAAAGAAAATACCATAAAATGAGATTTTGCATATTGTATTTGCAGAATGAAGGGTGGAAAACGGTTCTAAGGAGAGATAAAGACTGCCAATGAAGAGTAAGAAAAACAAAAAAAATATCCAATGTGGATTCCAACATGATTTGCTAATTTTTGCTAAGCAGGACATATAATTTTTTTTATAACAAACAAAGGAATTGAGAGCATCTTCGTGTTAAGTAAAAGCAGAAAAACTTATTTTACAAGAATTGCTATTATAATTTTGTTATTGAGCATGTAGGAGTTACCTCCTCCTTAGTTCCCTAATTCTTCACCAGGGGTCTCTCTCCCCATGCTATAAATACTGGGTGACCTCTTGCCTCGATCTCTTTTTCCCCCCCCTCAGGCCTTATGCTGCATTCCACCTCGTGTGGAGGTGAGGTAAATCTTTTTTTCTTCTTCATTTCAGTGACAAGATGTAAGCTCTTACAAGATCAGCATTTACCATTTCTGGAAAACGCTATGAACATTACAGACATTCACCAAAATAGCATTCACCAAAGAATACACACCATGTTATGTCTATGTTCCTTGTAATTTAATACATATTTGTTGATATATAGTGATTTTCCAAGTGTAGCTTGGATGTGGCACAAGGCCGAAAGTAAGGGGCACCCAGTGAAGATTGAACTCACTACTCAGTCGTAATTGGTTCTAGCAAGACAAGCTTTCTAACCATTACACCACCTCAAGGTGCCCATATTTGTTGAGATATATATATATGTCTTGTTTGTCTTCTTTCATCTTCGGTTGGACAAATTAAGTCTGCCAATTTTCATGTAGTTGGATCTTTTAATATTCTACCAGGAGTTACACATGTGTTTCTAATACAATAACACGTAAATACACACACAGTCCTCTACAAGCATTGATATTAAATATGTTGAAACTAGAATAACATATTCTGCAAGCATTGCTATTAAGATTGAAATGTTATGGTTTTTCCCTACAAGAAAAAAAAGGAGAATAACTGAAAATAACTGTAGAATCCTTCCTAAAACAACAAATAACCTATAAAAAAACGAATTTAATCGTCTGACAAGCTCTGTGATCAACAGTCTTGTTTTTGAAGCAAACACTTGTAGAAAAGCATTTAGCTCATTCATCAAGTCAGCCATACATCACCAGATGCTTTGAGAATTCAAGTTTATTTATATATTTCTTCAATACATTTTGACATGTGGGTAATGTAATAAATTATCAGCAGAGAAAGTGTAATCAACAAACTGGGTTCATGTTCCATCCCAATCTGTATTTTTTTTTTTGCACTAGTACCTCCTGGGAAATTGACAAGTCCTTTCTACTCTCCACCAGTAGGGTGGACTGAATTGTCTAGCCTTAGATGGTGACTGATCTAGGTGAGTGTGTCAGAGTTAACTCCTCCTTAATTGTCCAAATATTTCACTAGGGGTCACTCTCTCTACACTATAAATATTGAGCAATTTCTTTTCTCATTCTCTTTTCTACTTTGCATTTCAGCGGACACATTTAAAAATGTGATCTCTTGCAGAAATCCGTGTTTTCATCCACTTCTGGGAAAATGCCATGAAACATATATACACGTACGTACAAACATTCACCAAAATACAAACTCTTTATGTTCACACACAAACACAAATGTTGATGTCTTTGTCACTTGTAAATTTGTTGTTTAATACATATATTTGTTGGCATATATATATATCGGTCTTGTTTGTTTTCTTTACATCTTCGGTTGAACTCAACTTGAGTCCACATTGTTCTTGTAGTTGGACCTTCTAGCAGAAATAAACAGCATGTGTCGCTAATTCAGTAAGACGCAAACCCACACGGTCATCTACAAGTGACTAGTGTGAATACAAAGCAACAGAGAAGGCAATAAAGAAACTCCTTCACTACTTTTCTTTCAAAAGTCATATTAATTCACAGATAGAAATGGAATCTGTGAAGAGTCATGATCACCTTCATCCTGATGATATATGGCATTTGTAAAAAAATGTTTGTCATAGTGTTTAGTTCAACAATCAAAAATAAGTTTCTCTTTGTCTCCATTTCTAAAAGTTCCTTACCAAAGAGCTAACTACACTGTACGCAAGCCACCAATCTGTGTGATATGCTGCTAGCATTTGCTGCTGTTGGGCCGCTGGCACCAGAAGACTGCTGGCATTGCCATCGACAGCCACCCAGAAGGCCACTAGCAACTTGTGTGTAGGGAAAGTACGTATATAGCACAGAAACCTGAAGGCATATTGGAATAACATTTGAAAGATGCATTACAAAAGAGAAACAAAATATTAAGAAAGAGGAAAATTTTGGTATATGGCAAACAAGTCATTTTTATAAATATCATGTCCATTCTGAATGTAGGTGGTTATGATTCTCCATAGGTTCCTTTTTCTTCATTAGCTGCAAATTTCCTTACCTTCTTGGGAAAAATAGTGAAGTGATTGCCACTCAAAGCTAGAGAGCTCAATCTACCCTACTATTTAACAAATAGCTAGGGGTAGCAAAGTATGTTTTTCTCTAGAGCAGTTGTGCAAAAGTGAACATAATAGTCTTGAATTTGAATTCAATTTACCAATACCACTTTCTACACAGAGTAAAATAAAACCAGGAATTCATTTTGGAATACCACATTAGAAAATGAGGAATATTTAAAAAAAATAAAAACAAAAAAAATTCTTGTTGATGATAAAACCTAATTTAGCATTTAATTTCTGAGAGGAGTAATTTTCAATATTCCTATATTATCTCTAAATGTTGTTCTCATTTTGATAGATATAGATGTCATTACAGACACAGCATTTTGATCACATACCCTCTGGTCATCATCAGGTGCCCATTGACTGACCGATATATGACATCTGTTGATTATTGTGATATTGTCCCTGCGATATCAGTCCTTGTTCATTCTTGTTGAATCAGTGTGTCGCTACCAGAAACAAGGATTGAGCTCATGACCACAAGATGAGAGTAACACAAGTATAAATAACTCCTATATCCACCTGATGAAGACCAGAGAGTATTTGGTTGAAATATTGTGTCTATAATATCATCTACATCAACCAAGATGTGAACAATACTTTGAAATAATATAAGAACAGCAAAACCTGTTTGAATATTGCATCTGAATTAATCAGTACAGCATGCACATATGTGCAGCTGTGTTCTGCAGGCATCTAGGAGAGAGAGAGAGAGACAGGTATGCGGTGGGAAACTTTGTTTTGAAAACGTAGATGGTTTGAAAGAGAGCGGGTGACACTGGGAATTGTTTTGTGTTTTTGACTATTCCATTGTTTGGCAATCTTTCAGTTTAAAATGACAGATTGATCACTGCAAGATTTAATCAAACTATTGAACTCATACTTTTCTTGTTATGTCATTTCAATAAATAAACAAAGGTGGATCAGAAAGTAAAGGTAGTTATGAAATTATGGTGATTTTCTAAGCTTAGCTTAGGTGTGGCTCAAGGCTGAAAATATGGGGGTACTTAGTGAGGACTGAACTATTCAGTTATAACTTTGAAACCAAGGTCAAGACACTTTCGTTCAAAATTGCTTCATATATTGCAGAGTCCATTGTGCCGTCAATGCATATTATTTCCCTGTTCCAGCTGCAGCAAAGCAACCCTAAATGTGCTGCCACCACCATGTTTAACTGTTGGTACTATATTCACTTCAAAAACTGTATTAGGTGCTCATCAGACATGCCACGTATAGTTCCTCCCCAAAAGTTTTAGTTTGGTTTTCTCCAACCATGAAATCTTTTTCCAGAATGTTTCTAGCTTATTAATGTTAGCTTTGGAATAGTTAAACTGAACTTGTTTCTCCTTTTTTGTAAGTAGTGTCTTTTTTCTAGGCATTTTGTTAATGAAGCTTGGCAACATTCAGATTTTGTGGCAATGTAGATGTATGCATATTGATTCCAACATTGGATAGGAAGCCTTGGAGTGTCGCAAAGGTCACACAAGTATTCATCTGGGCTTATCGAACTAGTTATCTATTTCCTTTGACAGTCATTTTTTGCAGATGGCTACTTCTTGATTGTGATGCCTTCATATTTATAAATAATTTGTCCTACAGATGAGACGTGCACTCTAAATAGTGTTTCGTATCCTTCTCTATCAGGATAAGCTTCAACTATGTGATATTTAAAGCTTCAGGTATGTTCTTTTGAGCTTGGCATATTTTTTTTTAATTTAATCTCTAACTGCACTCTTTTGTATGCACAAAAATATTATTTGCTCTGTGAACCATATAAAAAAATTATTTGCTCTGTGAACCATATAAAAAACTATTTCCTCTGTGAACCATATAAAAAATTATTTGTTCTGTGAACCATATAAAACAAAAATACAGAGTGTAAATATAAGGGTTCAATTACTTTTGTTCATCTTAATTTTTAATTAATATTTTTATTCCAGTTTGATAAAAATTTTTTTAAAGGGATTGTAATTTGTTTAATTAAGGTTTTTCTTAATGAATATACTGTTTAATGAAGATTTGCTGATTATTTAGAAAGGAGAGACTTTTTTTTAATATTAGGTTTGGTTTGTTGCGTTTTATGGCATATCAACCTCAATGGGTTATTTAATGCCGACAACTTTTTTTCAAAAATATATTGCTGGTAATAGTTTTTTTTTTTTCTTAAAAAAATTATTTCTGGTAATAAATTTTTACAAAGTATTTCTGGTATTAAAACCTATTTTTACACTTTTATAATGCTTTTTACCTCAGTTTCAGGGTTAACTATTTGCCCATAGCTGAGACCCTAACAGGTGCTACCACCCCGGGTCAGGGTGGACCTGGGAACGCCAACAATTAAGAGGTGGTTCCATGCTCCTCAAAACCTCCTGATCAGACACCTCACTGTTGGACGTAGTTTATTGTCTAACCCAGGATATTTAATATTAGAAGTTCATTTTTGCACAGCACTGAATAATACTATATTTCTAGGGATGAAATGATTGAAAATAAAAAAAATTTTAAATACTTACTGTGTACTTTAAGGATATGTGTTTGCTTAATGCTTGGGTCCTCCTTGTCATGGCATGTATAGTTACCCATGTGGTGGATACCAACACTACTGATGTACAGAGAGCCATCATCGAATACCTAAATAAGATACAAGAAATCAATCAAGGATTTTCATCAAAGGCATAAAATGCATTGCAAACTGTGCTGTCAATTGATTAATTCATTTTTTTGAGTGCACACGAAGTTTTCTTTTTTTAAAATAATCTTCTACTTATAGACATAGACATACAACTACTACTTTGAAATCACAGCAGTGAGTCCAACAAAGCTTTGATGTGAGCGTGATATATATATATATATATATATATATACAGTTAATGAGACAAATTGGAAAAATTAGAATAAAAATCTTTTGCTAGATTAGAACGAAAGGACAAAACTGAGGATAAGTTTTGTGATGTCAACGAACACTTGTTGCCACTTTTGTAATGCCAACAAATACTTGTTGTCACTTCCACAATACTTGTAGTAGAGCCTTTGTAATCGCAGATACAACTATATAACACCATTGATCAATACTAGTGTCAGACATCTTTGAATAATACATGCACTAATAGTATTTGCTTGATAATGATCACTTGGAAAGTAACCTCTGAAAAGTAATCTGTGTAGTGATTAGTATAAAGAATAATGAACTGTATAGTAATAAAGGATAGAATAGAAATACAGATGAATCTAGACATCATGTGACTTCCTATATATGTGTTTCCTCTATGGTCACATGATCCAATTAATTTAATAATGGGATTGCCTCTGTTTGCTCACTGGCAATCTATGTTCAAACGTTTATTCCTATCTGACAGTAAGGAAAATGTGTTGGGATCTCTGATGATAAGAGGGGCTATAAATCAAATTATCTTATCCCATTTGATGACCAGAAAGTGTCTCTCTGCCTGTTTGTTTAATACACACACACACACACACACACACATATATATATTATGATGAAGAACAGCCTATTTTACTCAAGTTTGACACACTCTTCTAGTTCATTATTTACATTATTCCTCATCTTTGTCGCCATATTTATTACAACATTTAGGCCGTTGTATGCTCCAGCCTTCTTCAGGTGGTAGACTGTTCTAGTTCCACATACCATGTTTGATGGATGTCAGTTCTCAGTTATCTCCTGTTAATTTCCCTATGAAAGTTCTTGAACTCACACTCTTGGGGACTGTCACTGGATCTAACCAATGCCTTTATCCACTGTGCCATGTGTCCTTGAGGACATCTGGGTATGAATTTCTGGGTATTATAAACCTAATGTCTTCAGCAACCATTTTTACCAGTGCTCATATTGCAAATTTTGCTGTTATCATAGCATGTTTTTACCAGAGCTCATATTGCAACTTTGTTGTTATCATTGCTTTTTTTTTTTGCTAGTTCCCATATTGTGTTTATTTCTATGCTTGGTCGGCTCAGGAGATTTTTGTGGCCTAGCATATGTGCTGATTCCTTAAATTTACAAATTTTCCAATGGTGTTCCTTGTCTATGATCTTAACAGAGGGCAGTGATCTCCCTTCTCTCTCCATATGTGGTCAGCCACACCTGATTTTTTCACTTCCCCTCATGTTACAGCTTTCTGGTGTTCTTGAAGCCTTACCTTGAGGGGGCGGCCTGTCTCTCCTTTATATTCCTTTCTGCAGCTGCACGGGATAGTGTACACATAGTCTTTAGTCATGTTCTCCTCTATGGGGGGTCTTACTTGGGAGAGATATCTGCTAAGTGTTGTCAAGCTTTTGAAGGTTGTCCTGATATTATATGGACCGCAGATCCTTTGTATTTTCTCTGATAACCTCTTCACATAAGGCAGGCAGACTGTTTTCTGAGTGTTGTTGTCCTCCTCCTCTTGTACCTGCCTGAAGAAGGCTGGAACATACAATGACCATAACGTTGTAATAAAGATGGCGACAAAGATGAGGACAATAGTCTGAATAATGTATATAATTTACATAATACCTCATCTCAGAAATATAGACAGACTCTTCTAGTTGTTGGAAGATAATGAAAGTGTGAAGTAATGACTTAGACTTTCTTTTGTGAAGTGCTCATATTGTGAAGCATTTTTTGGCTCTGTCAAGAAAATCTGAGCATTGAGAACTTTATTGAATAGGTCTAAATTTGCCTTTTCGTCTTTCTTTTTGCTTTCCATGTTCATCATTTTTTCTTCTCAAAGGTGTTAGATATTCTGGCAAATTTTCTGTTGGTCACACCAATATTTTTTCTTTAGTAGTAGTGTAATATATATATTTACTGGATTTATAGCCCTCCTCTTAACCTTACAGTTCTCAACAAAGCACTGATTTCCCACATAATTCCTTTGATAGAGAAGACGACTTAATATATGAGAAGGCAATTTATTTTTAACTAGAAATTAAAATTGAAAGCAAATAAAGAGAAAACTATCTTTCAATTAGAAATTGAAAGAAAATAAAGACAATTTAGCCAAAATTCTATTGCAGGAGATAAATTTATATTGGAAACTATTAAAATTGCTTTTCACCCCAATCAAAGCAGTAAAGCCACTAAAACTGAAGGGGTTACTCAGTGTGAAAGAATTAGAAAACAGAAACATTAATAATGAGTGAGAACAATAGAAAAGTTATCAGGAAGACAGTAGATAATGATTGACATTACATTTACATTTTTGAAGAACAAAGTTGGCTGGAAAGCATCGAGCCAGAAGAGTGTACCACAAGCAATTGTAAGAAAAACAGTTAGCATAGATGCTGGATGAAGTTGGTAGGACAGCTTTTAATGTAAACAGTATTTCATATATTTATTTGACATGTTTTTTTTTTTTTTTAATAAAACACAAAACAGGCCATATTGGATAGTTTTATTAGTATGCTAACTTCCAGGAAAGTGACTCATTGTACTTTTTTGGGTTGACGTTTTCCTCTGACATGAAGTGAAAAAGATTATATTGAATCAATTGCTAGGTCTGTTGCAAGGAAAGCTGGTTGAATGTGCCATGCTAGACAATTTTTCTTGTCAGATCATAACACATTTATAAGTCTACCATGTATTGAATATTGTTGTCATATCAGGTCCGGAGATTCTGCTATGTATTTAGAGATACTTGATGAAATAAAAAGAAGAATCTGCAATGTTATTCGTCCTGACCTTTTTTCTCATTCCTGTTCATTTTCCCTCTGCCAATAATGTCTTCTTTTTTCCCTGTGCTCTTTTCTATAAATATTTTCATGGTTTGTTTGTTCTGATTAGATTTCATCTAATGTAACTCTTTGCTGGCTTTTTTTTTTTATCAGTCAGTTTTTCTGCTTTGTTCCTTCAAAGTATGGATGATCATGGCACTCCACAACTTCTTATCCTCCATAGCTCTAAAGAATGTTACTATATTCTGCCATCCTTTTACTAAAGCTTATTAGGTAGGTTACAAGCTGTTTCCCTAAGCTTCTCTTCTCTTCAAGATGCCCTGTGAGTGTCAAATTATCCCAGCCCTCTTTTAACATTATGTGTACCAAAAATTTCAACTGCCTCTTTCTGGTTCTAACTATAAGCATCCTTTTTGTTTTTATTGTCTTTTAAATTTCATTGTTACTCATATGTTCAGGAAATGGTATTCTCAGCATCCTTCTGTAGAACCCCATTTCCGTTGCTTCAAGTCTCTTTGTTATCTGTGAGGAAATTGCTGCCATATAGAAGGATTGATATTACATAAATTCAGTGCACTTTTATTTAATTTTAGCAAAGTTTTTCCTGTTTTTTAATATTTTGTTTAGTTTTTGAAATGTATCTTTTGCTAATCAAACGGATTTTGGTGCCACATTTTCCTGTTAGAACACTTTCATTGTTACTCATATGTTCAGACCATGGTATTCTCAGCATTCTTCTGTTGAACCACATTTCTTGTTAGAACACTTTCCAGTATTTTTCCTGAACTTGCTTGATTCTGACATCTGTTATCCCCATCCTCATTGTTTTGTCACAATGTTCAATATTCTTTTTCTCGTATTTATGATGCTAGATCTAAGCTACAAAGAATTGTGTAAAGAGAAGCAATCCAACAGTCAGTCCTATTGTCTAAATCAAATCCTTTCATGGTCTTTTGTGTTGGAAGAACTGTTTCTTATCAAAAACCATTGAAATGTGATGCACTGCTAGGTTGAATAGTTGGAAAGATATATTAATTACATGGCAACACAATGCATAAATTGGCTCTAAAGAGAATAATGTTAATAGACATCTATACAATGGATTGATAGTCATTAAATGCATTCAACCTGGATGTCCTGATCAGGTGTGTGTGTGTGTGTATATATATATATATATATATATATATATATATATATATATATATATATATATATATATAGATAAACCTTAGAGGTTTCACCTACGTAAGTGGATCCCTGACGATCCGCTTAGATGAAACCTTGATAGGTTTATTTGGCTCTCGAGGTTTAACTCGGTCTGTTCTACTTACCGTATTGAGCACTTTATTTAGTTATTTTGCTTACTCGTATTGGGTTTTTTTCCTTTGGACTTGCATGCTAGACGATTATTTTCGGCTGACATACATGTTCTTGGTTCTTTCTTTTTTTATACATTTTTTTTCCTTTGGTATTGGTTTGATTATTTGCAAATCAAGACACCAAAGTTTTCTGGATGAGTATAATTTCTTATACTTATGAGATTATTACTACTTTTATATATATATATATAAAATACACATCAAAACATGATTGCATCTGTGTAGCATTTTTACATGTGATATCCTAAAATAAAAAAATTATATATATATATATATATATATATAAGATAAATGGAACTGAATATAAACAAATTAGATGACGACCAAGAAATTGGCAGGTAAATATCAATTTATAAATAAAATTAAATTAGGAAGAAAATTTTGATATTCTTTTTATTAGCTTAGTTTCTTTTAATGTCTACTTCAACTCTATACTTCTGAAATCTCTGTCTGAACTCTGCAATTTGAATTATCAATTATTTCCTTTTTTTTCTCTTCCCCTCAATAGGAGTGGGTAGGTTCACCTATCATCCAGTTCACACTTCTCCCTGATCTTTTGAACAGGAGTAGAGGTTTATC